CCTCTGCTGGCGGTCAGAGGCAGGGAGAAGGTTCCTGTGCTGCACATCCCACACAGGAGGGCAAGGGTGGCATTCTGAAATGTTCTTGTTACTGAGAACACTAACCCCAGGTGAGCAGCATCCAGCGCGGGGCTGCCTGGGAGCATTAGCTCTCAGTAGGTCCTTCCTTGTCCACGGAAGGGTGGCATTTGTGTGGGGCCCTCCTGCAGCAGGAAGGCGCAAGGCACAGCTTTCTGGCCCTCTGGTCTCAGGACGGGGTCATGGGCCCGGGGGCAATAGGGACTAAGCCCTGACACCCTTGCCTTTCCAGGTGGTGTCTTATGCCAAGTTCTTGTACCCTACCAATGCCCTGGTCGCACACAAGACGGACAGCCACGGCCTGCCGCCCCAGCCCCGGCCCAGTGTCCCCCGTGCTCTGCCAGGCTCAAGATACAAACCAGCCCCAGCCAAGTCAGCGCCAGCCGGCACGGAACTAGGTAACCTCACGTGCCCTAACTGGGCGCAGGGCAGGCAGTCACACCAGCTGGGCAAGGGACAGCATGTGGCCAACCAGAGTCCCATTCCAGCCCACAGTCTAGACAGGGCGCCAGGCTCGGGAGCAGGGTCAGGAGAAGGGACTCACTCCCATGAGAGCAGACAGCCTAGGCTGCATCCAACCAGGCACTGGAGCGATCCCATGTCCACAGATGGCATGGAGGCAGGGGGGCAGGGGGCCCCTCCTCGTCTGGACAGCCTTCCTTCAACCCAGCCCTCAGGGACGGGGAACCACGGTCTGCAGCCCCTTCCAGACCCCAGACCCCAGCAGCATGCCCCGGCCCCCCCCCGCTCTGGCACTAGACCAGGGTTCCAGCTGAGGCTTGGGTTGGCAGAAGCTGGTTGGCCAGAGCTGGGGGCTCGTGGTGGGTCAGGGCTGCCCTCTGCATGCAGGGAGTGACGCAGGGGACGCGCTGGAGTATAACCCCAACCTCCTGGACGACCCACAGTGGCCCTGCGGCAAGCACAAGCGAGTCCTCATCTTTGCCTCCTACATGGTACGGTGAGCACCCCCGCGTGCCCGGTCCGCGCGCCTCCAGGTGTCTGGGGGCAGGCCGAGGGCAAGCCGCCAGGGCAGGGCTGACGTGCCCCCCACCCCCAGGACACCAGCAGCACCTCGGGACAGGAGGGGGTGCGCGGTAGGCTGGAGGGCTGCGCGGACCACACCGCCCTGGGGTCACCATTGCCCTCAGCCCACGCCCTGGTGGCCTGGGGCTAGCCACGCTGCGCCCTCTGTCCGGAGGCAGCGCTGGCACCTGAAGCTGCCGCACATTCACATCGCAGTCCCAGGCCAGCATGAGATCACCCCACGGGCTCGCGTGGGTGGGCCCCCAGGCCTGTGCAGGGCCGGCTCCCTACCCTGCTGCCTTCTCTGCTGCAGACCACGGTGATAGAGTACGTGAAGCCCTCTGACCTCAAGAAGGACATGAACGAGACTTTCCGAGAGAAGTTCCCACACATCAAACTGACGCTGAGCAAGATCCGGAGGTAAGGGGGGCTCAGGTGAGGTCTCCGGGCCCTACCGCCCGATGGGGCCGTTCCTCTCCTCCCCCATTTCTGGTAGGCCCCTGAGCTTGACGAATCCAGATGTGCCCCACCCAGACCCCCCCGCCCCCCGCCGTCTGCCCAGGCCAAGATAAGCAGCTCCCTAGCGCCCCACCTACCACCTCCGCGGGCCAGGCCACCTCGCTGCCTCTCATACCCACACCTCCTAGCCCTCCCGGGACAGCACGGGAGACGGGCACTGACCCCCCGTGATCGATGGGATCGAGGGCCGAGGCGGCTTGCCCAAGACCTCACGGCGAGTAAGTGGCGGACTGCCCTGCCCTGGGTCCATCTGGCCCCACTGCATCCCACTGAACCCTCCCCTTCAGCTTCACTGAAGGTCTAGGCGCTGCTTCAGCGTGTCTACACCACGGGGCCTTTCCACAGGCGGTTTTCTCCCTGCATTGTCCTCCTCGCTGCCACAGGACAGCAGGGACTTGTCCTCTGTGGTGTTCTCTGGGGGACAGTGTGGGCCAGCCAGTACAGCTGGGGTGGGGGGGTGCCACGGGCCAACATCAGCCGGCTCACCCACCACACTGCGGGCCGAGTGCTGCGCTGTGCCTGCCTGCAGGGAATGGGGCTTTTTCAGCAGCCCAAAGGGCCCTGCTGCGGCAGGGAGAGGGTGGCCACTTCCTCGGCCCCTGAGCACCGGACCTCCGTGTAACCCGTAGTTTGAAACGGGAGATGCGGAATCTCTCTGAGGAGTGCAGCCTGGAGCCTGTGACGGTGTCCATGGCCTACGTGTACTTTGAGAAGCTGGTCCTGCAGGGCAAACTCAACAAGCAGAACCGCAAGCTGTGCGCTGGGGCGTGCGTGTTGCTCGCTGCCAAGATCAGCAGTGACCTCCGCAGGACTGAAGTGAAGCAGCTCATCGATGTGAGTATGCCTGTCCCGCCCCGGCCTGGCCTGCAGCCCCCTCGCTGCCCCCCCAACAAGGCCTGGCCACCTGCGGGGAACCTGGAGCCGGGCCTGCACCCACACCCCAACCCGCTGCCCCGGGTGGGAGACGGAGCCCGGGGCCCGCGTAATCTCCTCGCTTTTTCAACACAGAAGCTAGAAGAAAGGTTTCGATTCAACAGACGGGATCTAATTGGGTTCGAGTTCACGGTGCTGGTGGCCTTGGAACTCGCGCTCTACCTTCCCGAGAGCCAGGTGTTACCTCATTACCGACGCCTCACACAGCAGTTCTAGCCGAGGCTGGCCTCCGCATGCTGGGAGGCTGGCCTCTGTTTGCCGAGACAGCCCCGGTGCAGGCACTCACGCGGGCCAGGGAGGTGTTCCCAGGTACTGCAGGGCACGCACGCCCGCCGGTCCCCACTTCAGCACCCACCTGGCGGGGACCCACCTGCCCTCTGTGACTGACGACCCTCTCTGCACACCCTTGCGTCCTTGGAGGGACCCTGCTTTCGTTCCAAAGCACACCATGCCCATGGTATTCCTGAGAGCCTGCTTGCATTTTCACAGGAACAAGGTGGGAGGTTTTGTGTTCTTTCACACGTGCCTGAGAGCAGGCTGCACGGGGACCCTGGCTTACCTCGTGCGGTCACCCCAGCTCTGCAGCGCCCGTCTCCCCTGCGTCTTCCGCAAACCACAGCTGCCGCGCAAGCATCTCAGTGAAGATCTGGGTTTCCAGACCGTCCCTGACACGCTGAAATTGCTGAAGTTAACGTAACGAAGCATTAGTTTTGGCTGTTTCAGGTTTTCAGATGTGGAGACGCAGCACTGCACCCCCACGGCCTGCCCCCCCTCCCCCCGGGGATGCCCACCTGCCTCCCCTGTGTCCACAGGCAGAGCTCTGGCATTAGGTTAAGTGAAGCAGAGCAGACTCCGGTTTATCTCATTTGTTACTCTCCCGAGCATCGTGTCACTGTGAAATCCTGGTGCCCGAGCGTCGCACAGCCCGGCGGGCCTCCGCGCAGACACTGGTCCGCCCCTGGGGGACCCGCGCCTCACGTCTCACCGGGAAACCCTGCTCACCTGCGACGCTCTGGACCTTCAGGATGCCTGGATTGCTTGCTCTTGGCTCTTGATCTTCTTAAGCAATATTGTGACGGAGAAAAACTGTATTTATTGTTACTTGGGATTTTGTTCTATGGGTTTTCTTAAGGGAACAAAAACATGAGATCTGTTGAAGTTCTGACTTGAAACCACACTTGATCCTCAAGCAGGCAGGAGACGGGCTCCTCCACGGCCCTGCACCCCACGGCACCACCTCCCCGAAGGGGTCAGTGCTCACAGTTTCTTCCCAGGCAGGAGGGAGCAGCAGTCCTGGCTGTCATGAAAGGAGCCCAAGGGGTAGTGGCCGTCACCTGTGCCCCGTATGCCAACAGGGCCCGTGTTCTGCTTTCCCAGGTCTGCGTGTCCGTTCCGCACACTCTGTGACCTGGTTCTCCAGCGTGCTGCCCCACCAAACACTGAAGAACTGAGGAGTTTCTCCCCTTGGGTCAGCTGCTGTCAAAAATGACCATGTTGGCTGGGCCATTTAGCTGCTTCCCTACTGTTGTCCTATGAACCTGTCACAGGGCCCAGGCTACAGCCCCACCCTGTACTCGTGTGTGGACCGGTGCTTCTGCAAAAAGGAGACCCTAGTTCTCATCACAGCACTCAGGCACCAGCAACTCCACCCAGACCCCAGCACCCGTGTCTGCCCACAGGCCAGCCATTCCTTCCTGGGGCGAGGGGCGACTGCAGCATGGAGGTCAAAGCCCAAGTCCACATTCCAAGCCTATTTATTGTGGAATACCTCCCTGTCCTCTCCAACGTAGCCCCTTAAACCACATGTACCCAAGGTGAACGTGGAAGTTTCCTTCTGGATAGCAACTTGTCCCACCACCTGTGTCTCAAGGATATTTTTAGGTTACAAGTGCTGCAAGGGACCGACCCGAACCGTACATCCCAGTTCACAGCTTCACCTCAGAAAAGGGCACGTGTCCTTGGGAATTTACGTGCAGACCCTAGAAGAGCTGAGACGACTGGAGTTTACAAGCGTCATGTACAACCCGTAGCTTCTCCCTTGGTGTGTGTCCTTGTGTCATCCATGCAGAAAGCTGCTCTCGTGTGTTCAGCTGTCACTGCAGCAAAGCCAGTATCGAAGCCAAACTTCAGCCTGAACCCCTCATTCTCTGGACCAAGCCCAGACGTGAGAGACAGGTCTGAGCGTCTAGCACAGCTCTCGGCACTTGGTGGCAGCTGTAGACTGAAAGGCGCGCTGTGCGACTATCTGACCTCATTGTCCAGTCACATGTGGTGATTTGTTTGCAAATGGTAATGTATTTGTGGTTCGAAGTAAAACGTGGTTTTGCAATGTACTCTGTAGGTTGGTCACCTCCTTTCGGCTGAGCGGTCCTTTGTCAAACGCGCACAGCCCTGACCCTCTTGACACCCAGAGGAACGCACCCAGTCATAGAACAAACCGGCACAAATGGGTTTTACTATTTATTTATGACAAATATCCCACATCCGTGATCTTCTCCAGTCAGAAGTTCCTAGGACAAAAATAAGGACAATGTTAAAACCCTGTTTTTGGAAAGGTCCAGGACCTCTGTGCCCAAACACAGGCACTCTTACTTACTTTGAAACGATGCCGTCAGCCTTGGCCAGTCGGAGGATGGAGTCATCGGACTCACCCTGGAAAAAAGCACGGTAGGCCATCTCCCCTGCTCCCCCCACGCCGGCAGGGCGCAGACTAGCCCAGGCTCCTGGCCGCACACCTGACTGCGGGGGGGGGGGGGGGGGGGGGGGGGCCTCCGGAGGCCAGGCCGCCTCTGCTGAGCCACAAGCGCCAAGGCCAAGGCCCACCTGAGTGCTCTGTCAGGGCGGTCCTTTCCCGGCCCCTCGCCCCTCGCCCCGACGCACTTCCAGGAAGGGGCGGGCGGCCAGCACACCTCCCTTCCCCGGCGCGCGCGGGAAGTGCAGCGGGACGCACTCACCATCCTGCGAATGGCCCCACAGATAGCGTAGGTTTTGAACTGGCCGTTGAACCTGCCCGTCACCTTATCAACCTGCAAATCGTCCGCGAGCGTCACAGAGACCGCCAGGCACCTTCCGCTCTGAACCTGGGGCCCGGGGATGACCGACCCCGCAGGCCGCCCTGGCAGCTCCCTCCCCGGCGGGACTGGCCCTCCGCCGCCCGGCTCACCTCGGCCACGTTCATCTGGATGGACGCGTGGTCCTTGGCGCCGATGATGCGGTTGCTGGCGGAGCTGCAGGGGGAGCGCAGTGAGCGGGCGGGGGGGGGGGGGGGGGGGGG